TGTAGAGTTACTTCTACATCTACAATCACGACCTACTTTTAAAGGAGTTGTAGAGTTACTTCTACATCTACAATCACGACCTACTTTTAAAGGAGAGTTACTACATCTACAGTTACGACCGACTTTTAAAGGAGAAGAGTTACTGTTACTTCTACATCTACACTTAGTACGACCTAGATGAATAGTAGTTCCTGATCCCACGACGACCATAACAGTAATAGTCCGTGTCCTTTGTCTCCGGCTCTTGGAGTCTCACGTCATCCACAGATATAGGTTGGGCTGTAGGATTTTTCCTAGTTCCGCGTGAACGAGTCAGATTTCGTTCCGTGATCAGGTCTTTTAAGCCAAAAAACCAAATATCCCTCGTCTCCTGTCCTGCGAATTGCAGAGAGCGCTGGATCCCTGTTAGAGTTAGGCTCGTCGTATGACGCTACGACTAGTACCACGTTCTCAAACTCATACAAGTTGGACTAATGTTTTACGACTAGGACTACGTCGTCATAATGATGCTACGACTAGTACGTTCTCATACTCATAGAAGTTGGACCAATGTTCTACGACTAGGACTACGTTCTCGTACTCATACAAGTTGGGCTAATGATAAATATTTGTAAGGTTCTTCGGATGTTGCATTTTCCCTGGGATTCGTCGGATGTTCCTTGAATGTTTCTATTTTTCCAACTGAGATGGACATGGACCTTGCTCACGATACTCATGAATAGCCTTAAAAAAGTTGGTGCAAGCGTTGGTGCAGCATTCCTTGCAGCTATTGGAGTACTAGTATTGTTGTTTGTTGAAGACACTTGTTCTTGGAAGGTGAGAATAGCTACGGTTTGATCGAACTGCGCACTTTGACTGCTCATGGCAGCCACTAGGACTTCGCTCTCCCCAGATTATTTAGAGCTGACTAGCTCCTGATGCATGTGGGAACAAAGGGAACCTTCCCTTAAGAATACAGTATTCCTCACGCATTACACCATGCATGTGGGAACAAAGGGAATTATCTTCTTCCCTCAAGAATATCTATACCACTCGTTCATCATGTTCGTGCCTGTGGAGGGGACGATCTTCCCTCAAGTAGAGCGATACTCCTGACGGCTGACGATCCCTTAAGAACCGTTATACTCCTTGTCTCTCTATTAACTCATGTTTATAACTGCATAGACCACATCATGGATTAGCTGAGGCCTTAAATGATGCTTCTTTGCTTCCATCCCTTCCTCCTGCAGCAGCGCCACCTGTCGGTCCTCCAACCAGGTGCTTCAAGCTGCTATTCTCCACACTGAAGTCCTTGGGCCTCAGATTTGAGAGGGCTTGTATCGGTATCCGAATCTCCTCCACGTCAAAATATTAGGGGAAACCAAGGAGCGAGAATGGGTATCCGAATCCCCTCCACGTCAAAACATGAGGGGAAACAAGAACACTTGGCTGCGGATCGAACAAAAAAACAGCTGTAGATAGTACCATTACCATTTGTTGTCCTGTAAAACTGAGAGGTACAACTTATGAATGTATCCTAATCTACCTAACCCAAAAAGATAAATGTTCGAGTTCGTGAAGAAAATGTATTTACGAGATTTACCTAGGACTTTTCAAAGTCAGTATTTCTATGGAGTAAAATTGTAGAGAGGACTTCCGTCAAGTCTCCTAACTAGGCGACGACGCGCCTCCCACCTCCCCTCCTTCTATTAGACCGCTCCCCTGTTCATCCCTGTAGAAAGCCCTCAAGCATATGCGTCAGGATCTCCCTCGTATTGGGGTGCATATGGCATATGCTTGAGACATTCCTCTATGTGCATATGGCATATGCTTGAGACATTCCCCAATAGAGATGGACGATTTATGCTTGAGAGATGTCCATGGAGATGGATTAGGGGGAGCCTTAATTCTAACCGCAAAGAGAGCTCATCGTGTGAGTGTGTCAGCCTCACATGACCTGGTCTTCGCGTTGGGTCACTGCTGGACCTATGAAAAATCGGGAAGATCTTTGACAACAACTCTCGCTGCGGTCGCAAGTCTTCCACTGCAGTATTGTGGGAGGTGGACATCCTGATATTGACTGTCCTTGTTGTTTGATTATACAATCCAATTGATCTCGCACGCAGTTCAGTGCAGACTGCCTTAAGGGCGTCATAGATGGTCTAACGATCTTAATATTTATAAGTACCTGTTGATCATGTGGTTCGATTGCGTATGCGTACCCTCAGTATTTCTTTGATGATAACTCAAAATTTGATGCTCTTGTTCAAATCATAGTACAGAAGTCGCTTTCGCTCACATTAGTATCCTAGCTCGCCATTTTCAGAATCTTCTGACGGCTTCCTTTGTCTGTTGCTTGGGAAGACTTATAATAAAGACCTAAATTTTTTCTCCATCAGCTCGTCCACCAACAGTAGCGGAATTTCCATCGACCTTAGCATCGAGCATTGCGAGTCAGAGTTCGTAGCGCGATGTGTAAAACATCGTCGACAAGGAGTATCTTCATCACAGCTAGCAGCTGTACCAAGTCTCAGAAAGTACTTAGTTGTAATCAAAGATTTCATTGATTCGGTGCGAGTTTGTACTGTCAACAGTCATCAAGAAATGCAAGAATTCAAAAAATCTTTATTCTGTGCTAGTCTCTAATCCTAAAGCTAAAGTAGTTAAGCATGATAACAATAAAGCACGAACAAGAAATTTCATCGCGATGTGCATCAGAATAGCCTCTGTCAGAATAGCTTCTGTCAGAATAGCCTCTGGATGAGGTCCCAGTCACCTTGGGAATTGTGCATTTCCACGTACTCGAGGACCGGTTCGAGGTCATTGGTGATGCGCGCATGAAAATCTACGAGGCCAGTGAGCTCCGGTAAGCGCTCTAAAGCTCTGGCGGCCGTGCGCGCACGCAGAGGCGGGATCTGTCGTCCAGTCTCGACAGCACGATCTGCCAACCTCTTCTGAACGATGCTCTCTTCTGCACAGTATTAGAAGAGGATCCGGATCATGGAAACGATAACGAACCATCTTTGAATGCTTCTAGAACTAACTTCTAAATGATGATGTCGGTTGCAAGACTAAGTCTAAGAGCTGAAATATTGATGCGAATGATATGAAAGTAAGCGCAGTCGAAAGGAACAAAAGGAAAATACTTATAACAAGTCAAGAATTCTGTCCTGCTCGGTCGGAAAGTTTATACTTGTGCCTGCTAGAAGACGAACTAACTCAAACTCTTTGCTTCTAGAACTAACTTCTAAACTAAGAGCCATAATTATAAAGTCTAAAATCGAATAGATTCGTCCTCAACATAAACTAACTCTTTGCTTCTAGAACTAACTCGTTCTAAACTAAGAGCTGCTAATTATAAAGTCTAAAATCGAATACTGGGGGAAGTTCCCACACCTCCTTAGTAGATTAATCGAGAAAGTGTTTAAATAGATTCGTCCTCAACATAAGTTATCGAGACGATCGCAATGCGGTACTGGGGATAGGATTTCCGTATGCGCTTGAATCTTTCTTTATAATAGTCGTGGTTCCAAAGCGAACCGTCGACCCAAATTGTTACTCCTGCTTCCAGTGCTACTTCCTGTGCGATTTCGCTTATGTAGCCGCTCTCTTTGTGGCACAATTAAAGCTCAGCACTCAATGGTCACTGACTCTGAACGGAAGGGACCCCCTTCAAAGCTCTCCCCTTTCCCTT